CTTGAGGTCACAACCTGCTCTTCATTTACGAGACAGAAGTTTGTGGGGGGCAGAAAAGAAAGAAAATGGGCCTTTCGCCCGGACTTGAGTGAGGGCTCGGGATTTCATTTATTCAGGACCTACCACCCACCGGGACGCTGTGCCGGGCGCTGCAGGTACAAGATGGACTGACCGGCGCTCTGCCGGGATGTATTCTTAAAGAGGGAGGCTGGCGATGCATCAATAAGGACGATAGGTTCTATTTAACTTTTTATTGAAAAGTGTTGTAAAATATGACAGGGCCGTGCGGGGGGGGAAGGAGCGTGCAGCGTTATAAGTAGCGGTGTCGGTAGCAGGTCGGTCCGCGGCGTGTGCCCCGACGCGCTTGGAGGAGTGTGGTGTCAGCACCAGCCGGGGCCTCTTTGTGAGTTTCCAGCCCCGGGGACGGGGATGTTGAGGAGTTGCTCACAGGGCGTGTGCCTGTGTTTTGTTGGGAAAAGAACCAGGTTCTCCCGGAGGGTAACCTTGACTTGTTTTTGTCCGAAATCCCATGCCATCTGTGTTTGCAGTGCTTAGAACTTCATGGGATTCTCCTGCTGGAAGGAGGAAGTGGACGATCCTAGAGCTACTGGCGTGAGCTAGGCTGTGGTACTGCCCCCTCCCGGTCCCTTCTCTGGGCATGTGTCATTTCTGAGCCGAAGGCGGGGAAATGTTGGAACCTTGTTTTAGCTTAATCTAGAATTGTAAATATACAGTTCCAAGTATCGTGGTTTTCCTTCCCTACATATTTCCCGTTTCAGTAGGGAATTTTTTTAAAAATATATATTTTATTGATATTTTTTTTACAGAGAGGAAGAGAGAGGGGAGAGGGATAGAGAGGAACATCGATGAGAGAGAAACATGGATCAGCTGCCTCCTGCACACTCCCTACTGGGGATGTGCCCGCAACCAAGGTACATGCCCTTGATTGGAATAGAACCTGGGACCCTTCAGTCTGCAGGCTGTCACTCTATCCACTGAGCCAAACCGGTTAGGGCTCAGTAGGGAATTTTGACGTCACTAATAAGAAATATAAGCTGCCTGTTGTAGATGTATATAAGGTGTGGGTTATAGATCCGCTGTGGAGAAGAAAGTGCCTGCCCATTAAGACAAGGTGGGAAAACTGTGGTCAGTCATGGTTTGATTTTGTTGTTCCTAGAAAGAGGTAGTAGTGAAGATATTCTCATTCATTGTGGCTGAGTTGCGGAAGATTATAGTAAACTAGAGGCCCAATGCATGACATTCATGCAAGAGTAAGCCTTCCTTCCCCCTCGCCTGCCGGGACCCGGGCTTCCCTTGCAGCCCCGGCTTTTTTCCGAAGGTCGTCCGGAAGGACGTCCAGTCTAATAAGCATATTATGCTTTTATTATTATAGATGTTCTCCCTAAAATTGTACATCAGCAGAGGGAATGGGTAGAAGCTACAACAGTGATTCTCAGTCAGTTTACAGATGTTTCGCTCCCAAAGAGGTGGATCAGGAATCTTGTAGGGAAACTTTGAAACCCTATACATAGTGATGTCCCATGTCTCCACCTTCATTTTTTTAGTTAAAATTTTGCAATGTTGATTATTGCAGGTGTCCCCCTTCCCCTCCCCTTGCCCACCTCCACCCACCCCAACCTCCCTATCCCTTGGTCTTCATCCCACTATTGCCCGTGCCCATGGTATTTGTCTATTTATTCTTCAGCTAATCCCTTCACCTTCTTTATCCAATCTCACCCCCACTCACCTCTCCTCTGGCTCCCGATTCCATTTTGTTTGTCAGTTTATTATGTTGATTAGATTCCACACATTAGTGAGATCATAGGGTATTTGTCTTTCTCTGACTGGCTTATTTCACTTAGCATAATACTCTCCAGATCAGTGATGGCAAACCTATGTCACCTCTGACTCATTTTTTTGGTTGATTTTTCTTTGTTAAATGGCATTTAAATATATAAAATAAATGTCAAAAATATAAATCTTTGTTTTACTATGGTTGCAAGTATCAAAAAATTTCTATATGTGACACGGCACCAGAGTTAAGTTAGGGTTTTTCAAAATGCTGACACTCAGAGCTCAAAAGGTTCGCCATCACTGCTCCAGATCCATCCATGATATTGCAAAGTTTCAGAGTTCCTTCTTTTTTTACAGCCGTGTAGTAGTCATGGTATAAATGTACTGCAGCTTTTTTATCCACTCACCTATGATGGCACTGATGGGACTTTTTCCAGATGTTGGCTATTCCCACCCTTTTGCTGGAGTAGAAAAACGGTTGACAGCCACCTATTTACAGTGTACGATAGGGCAAATGGAAGCCAAACTTGAATTTATCTATGCAGTATTATGGATAATTGAGAATTGCTTGCATTCCCCTCATATGTCATCTTCAATTATAAATACTACCAGATTAGATTGAGAGATCTCCCTCAAGAGGTCAAAAGTGTCTTTCTCAAAGCGCTTAGGAGCCGTAAGTTTGTGAAAAAGCAGAAAAGGCACCTTTCCTGCTAACTTCACTGAGGGCCCATGATTTTATATATTCAGTACATTTTTTGAGTGCCTACCATGTAGCAGACACTGTTGGGCGGTAAGATTTTAGCACAGTTCCCTGTAGATGATGGGAGATCAGTACCTTCATGACACTGTAATGACAGCTGTCAAGCAACTACTTAAGACAAAAAGACCTCTGCATAATGAAGTGAATTCTGACGGACCTAAAGCTGAACTAAACCATAATGCTTACAAATTCTCTCTTGTGTAATACTTCATCTCTTTTAGAAAAAAAATATCTAAAACTGTTCAGCAAAAAATGATGGTGGGTTTTAGGATTCTGCTTGTGAATTTTAACTAACAAAAGCAAGAGCCAACTTAATGGAAGAGACATTGCTTGCTTTTTTTTTTTTTAAGGAGAGAAAGTTTTCATTCTTAGTGTTGCAAAGCCTAATTTTCATGTTAACTTAGATTTACAGTCAAGATTTCAGTTTCCTGATAGATACCTATCTTGACACTTCTGAGACCAGATAGGTATCTATTTGAGGTTCTTAGTCTAGACCAGCCGTGGGCAAACTACGGCCCGCAGGCCGGATACGGCCCGTTTGAAATGAATAAAACTAAAAAAAAAAAAAAAAGACCGTACCCTTTTATGTAATGATGTTTACTTTGAATTTATATTAGTTCACACAAACACTCCATCCATGCTTTTGTTCCGGCCCTCCGGTCCATAAATTGTGCTTCAAATGATTATGAATTTATAATCGAATGTATGCTTTTTTAGAGGAGCGCTTAGACCTTCCTTCTAATGTTGATTTTCACCCTTTGACAAAGAGTTGAGTACCACAGTTACTCATGTTGCTGCCATGAGGGAGTGCCCTTGGCACTACTGTCAATACTAAATAGTTCTCTGAGGTTTTGTCAGCTAATTTTCCTCAAGCAGATCATATTTTTCTCTTTTTTAACCTCCTTGGCACTATGTATTCATTTATAGAACTTCAGATTTATATTTTATTTCATGTGAGGACTTTTCTTAGTTTCTTGCTAAATTGTAAAAACTCTTGGAGTTAAGGGTTACATCCTTTTACAGTTGTCCCTTGAATAAAACGGGTTTGAACTGTGGCAGCCCACTCAGACCATGCACATGTATTTTCTGATAAGCAAACTGTGATTGAGAAATTGTAAATGAAGCATTATTTAATACCTCAGAACCTTCCAGCCCCTCTGTCACCTTTCCTCATGTAGCTCGTGTGTTCTGCCTACTTACTCAGCCTTCCTTTCCCCATTCTGCATCTGGCTCCTTCAGTTCTCCTTCCCCTGCTGATGGTTCCTTTACCTCCCGGACCCCTTTCCACTGTGCTCTGCCCAGGGCTTCCGACCAGCCATCATAGAGTTGTGGCCCATCATTATTTTAAATTGTGCTTCAAATGATTATGAATTTATTTAATGGTAAAGTGTAAATACTTAATTTGATGTAGTCAATTTTTTTTAAAGTTTAAAAGACAAAACAAAATACAGACACCTGTTAAGGGACTGTGGCACTTAGGGTTTTCTGGGGCAGGTTTTCTAAGATTAGATCCTTACACAGGAGTACACTGGCTTTTCAGGGTGGAAGAGTATAAACTTTACTGACTTATATTTCATGAAATAGCATTATTTTGGTATCTTTTTTTTTATCGAATGTATGCTTTTTTAGAACTGATTTTTAGAATGTGTTTTTTAAGTAGGTTGGCAGTATATGACCTAACCTTTCGATACATAGAACACTTTATTTTTGATTATTTAATAAGGGAATGTCCTTAATTGAGATTCTACTGTACCTCAGTAACTTTGCATCCTCCTTTATTTAACTAAATTTTTGGTAGTTCTGTAATTCATTAGATATTTATTAGTTATTCCCCTCTTGATGGCCTGAAGTATGCTCACATATCTAAAGCACTTAGCGAATTGCCTTATACAGAGTAAACACTATCCTGTTTGCACATTTGGTATCATTAAAATAATGTTTAAGGGTTAAGGTTTTCTAGTAATTAAAAGTTTTATCCAGATGTCCAAACAGGAGATGTAGCTATAGTCTCCATATTTATTACTGTTCTTGCCAGGTTGATCATTGTCATTTATTGAAAGGACTGGTTTTGGAGGCAGGGGTATAGGAGGATTCAGAACTAGTTGACATGAGTATCTGAAGGAGAGCACTTCTGAAATTTTTTTTTTTTTAAGGAAACATGAGTTTTGAATGCATTATTCTAATAAAAAGCTAAATATGTGACATTTGAATCTTTCTTAATCCAAAATTGGCTGGCTATATAGAATGAATTATCATTTTCATATTCTAAAATATGAGGCAAAGTAAAGCTTCCTAACCTTTGTGGTTTTGCTTAATTTCAGGAATGTATCCTCTTCACCTGCTTTAAAGTGCTAATTGGAAACAAATATATTTAAATACATGTTACAATTCTTTGAGGATTCTACCACATTCATTACAGTTTTTTTAAATTTATTTATTTTTTAAATCACCACAAAAATATTTATACTCAAGTAGCATCTACATAATAGCAGATTTTAAAAATGCTCAATAGTACAGCCCTGCTTGCAACACTAACATGTCATCTGGTCTGAGCAGCCAGTGGCACAGGTATCCTGAGTGTATCAAGCAGCTCTCATTACAATTTTTAAAGTATGATACAGTCACGAGGCTGGGGTCAGTAATCACTAGAATGAAGAAGTGTTGGTACATCTACAAGCTTAGTTGCTTTTTCCACTAAAATTAGAGTCATCCTTCTCTCTTTCCCTACTCACAAATAACTCGTGGGCGGGGGGCAGGGAACAGATGGAAGGAAGGTAGGTGTCCAATTTAAGCAGTAACACTCCAAAACAAGCCCTATTTCTAAGCTTAGTCTTTGTAAAATTTTACTAATTTAGGTTCCAACAAGTTTGTTTAGCTTTCATCATTCAGAATTGTGTTTCTTTTCTGTTTTATTCTTTCAGCATAAAGATGCCTATCAAGTGATATTGGATGGTGTGAAAGGTGGTACCAAGGAAAAAAGATTAGCAGCTCAGTTTATTCCAAAATTCTTTAAGCATTTTCCAGAATTGGCTGATTCTGCTATCAATGCACAGTTAGACCTCTGTGAGGATGAAGATGTATCAGTAAGTGTATGATTGATGCTTTTCAATAAGTTTTCAGATGTTGCCATTTCCAGACATTGTATGTGCATAGTTCATATAATTAAGTACCAATCATCTCAGTGCCCAATAAAATACTGCAATATGGTTTGGCACAATGTCATACCATTTCTCTACATTTGAGAAAATATTTTGCTCTTTCACCACCCTTCAACTGTGAAAAATGCGTAGAATTACAAGATACTTTGTTTTGCTTATTCGTTATTCATAGTTAAAAATGGAATTTGTGAATTAACAACATTTCATGCAGAATTTGCTAACTGTAACTCCCATACATTTTTATGTTAAACTAAATAAGCCAGGACTATGTATTTGGAGTTAAATACATAAAATATTCACAAATGTGTATTAAGTAGTCAATACTGAAAATTGGAAAGTAAATAGTTACTAGATATGACATTGCCACTGTAGGCTTTCTTAAGGGATACATATTATGTGCCCTAAAAAAAACAACAACAAAAACAATAGTTGTGTATAATCAATATGTAAACCATCGTTTATAATCTCAAATCTGTCTACTCCAATCAGATAATCATATTTAATGTCTCTTCCCACCACATTTTATTTTAGTTATTCTGTGAAGCTTGAATGCTAAATTGAAGCAAATTATTTCTGAAACTGCTAGAATTTTATGTTTTATATTTTTGTGATTCATCTGCCCCCTAATTAATGGTTTTTTCTGTGGTTTTAGTTTTTTTTAAAGATTGGGTTTGTTGTTTTTATTGATGATAGTATTTGGTTAAATTTTTGTTTGAAATTATATCCAGATTCGACGGCAAGCAATTAAAGAGCTTCCTCAATTTGCCACTGGAGAAAATCTTCCCCGAGTGGCAGATATTCTAACCCAACTTTTGCAAACAGGTAAGGAATATTAACATTATCCTTTTAATGAATATGACTTCTCCAGGCTAAAAGGGGTCAATGAGTGGGGAGGAGAACATAGGTAATACTTTCAACAATAAAGATTTAAGACAAAGATAAATAAATTCATTTAAATAATAGTATTTAAATCTGCACTTTAAATATATGTAACTTCTCTCTGAAATGACTCTGTTTTTAGCTTTAAAAAAAATTCTCTTATATTTAATAGTTTGAAACTTAATGACTTGTGATTATCCAATTCCTAGTGTTGTTTTATGTTGAATTCTATTTATAAAGGCAAAATTACTAAATTCTTTGGGAGATTTTGATGCATCATGATCTCCTCCCCTCTAATTTCCTATAGTTTCATAATTGGACCATCCTATATAATAAAAGCCAAATATGCTAAGTGTCCGGTTGTCCAGTCATCCGTTTAACCAATCAAAGCATAGTATGCTAATGATATGTTAAGGCTGCTCAACTGCTCATTATAATGTGCACTGACCACCAGGGGGCAGAGGCTCCGACTGGTAGGTTAGCTTGCTGCTGGGGTCCAGCCAATTGGGACTGAGCCAGACAGGCCAGATACACCTGGAGCCTTCCCGCGGCGCCCCACCCAGCTGGCTAACCTCCCATGTCCCTCCCCGGCCCCAATTGTGCACCAGTGGGGTCCCTCTCACAATCCAGGACCCCTTGGGGAATGTCGGAGAGCGGTTTTGGCCTGATCCCACAGGCCAGGCCAAGGGACCCCACTGGTGCACGAATTCATGCACCAGGCCTCTAGTCTTAATATAAAACCTTTCCAGGCATGCTATATTAGGTTCTTTGCCTTTTTAAGGAAGATGTATTTTCTCAGTACTTGAGAGAATTACTTAAATTATGTGTCTCAATGTAATCCATGAGAATCTATGTTGAATCTTAAGTTTCAAAATGAAGCAGATGATATTTTTCATTTATTTTATGCGTTGTACCACTTTTTCTCTTTGTAGATGACTCTGCAGAATTTAACTTAGTGAACAATGCCCTATTAAGTATATTTAAGATGGATGCAAAAGGTAAGGTCACTTCTTGTTCTGAATTGTTCTTCTTAGTCTGATGTCTTAAAAATTGGGGAGTTTGGCACAACTCATAAAAGATAAATTCTGGAATTCACCCACATATCTATTTCATAAAAATATTAAGTGTTCTCTTTAAAAAAACTATTTAGCTCAAGAGGTTTATGAGTTGAAAACCCAGCAGAAATAATTGCAAAAGCAGTTCCAAAATGCCTGTGTTTTATTATTAGTAATGATAAGCCCAGCTGGTGTGGCTCAGAGGTTGAGTGTCGACCTATGAACCAGGAGGTCAGGGTATATGCCCGGGTTGCGGGCTCATTTCCCCAGTAGGGGGTGTGCAGAAGGCAGCCAATCCATGATTCTCTCTTATCATTGATGTTTCTATCTCTCTCCCTCTCCCTTCCTCTCTGAAATCAATATAAATATGTATTTTTTTTTTAAAGGGTAAGTCATGCTCAGTCTAACTCTGAATCCATGAAGAAAGCATATGATCACTCTTACAGTTGAAGCTGTAGAAGCTTCATACTAATTTAACCAGTATCAATGATACTCAGGATGTTTATTAACTCACTTGAGAAGGAATACTATAAACTGAGTTATATTTAAAAACTTCATTATGATATAGAATTAACTTGCTACACAAAACTATTTTGTTTTGCAGGGACTTTAGGTGGCTTATTCAGCCAAATCCTTCAAGGAGAAGACATTGTTAGAGAACGAGCAATCAAATTCCTTTCTACAAAACTTAAGACTTTACCAGATGAGGTCTTAACAAAGGAAGTAGAGGAACTTATACTAACTGAATCCAAAAAGGTAAGCTTCAGTCATCATTTAATAGAACTTCTCTAAAGCAAAAGCATGTATTTGAACTTAGCAGTATTCATCAATGTATATAAAATGACATATCCCATTAGAACCACTGTAGAATTTCAAGCTTTTCTTACATTGTATTTTGCACTTTGCTTGCTTGTAATGATGAATGTGTGTTAATTTAAAGGGATGTGATCACATTTAAATCCTTTGTGATTGCTAACCTCAAAATTTATGCATTTTCCAGGAATCTACAGATCAACTCCTTCAGGAAATTTTACCTAATTCCCACCCGTCTTAGGATAATCTCTCAGTATTTTGAATAGTTTCAAAATAAAAATGAAATCACATTGAAATGACCTATTTTTTTCGTCCTACCCCATGACTCTATAAGCTCTTCAAGAGCGTGCCCCCAGATCTAGCATAAGTATAGAAGCTGAGATTATCAAGATGTGTCACAAGTAATTTTCACTTATGAAGTGTAAAAGTTTGGAAATAATTTACTTTTTATATGTTTAGGAAAATTCCAAAATTTTCCTGATATTACTGTTCACTTGCTTACTAATAAGATTTTGTCAGTGAGAGAGAAAGGAGCAGTTATTCAGCTGGAAATGTCAGCATATTTTATTTATGCTCCAACTAATAATCTGGTGGAATACGTCTTCTATTTTGTATGCAATTACCACATTCACGTGAATGAGGCTGCTTTTAAATATAGGAAACTGCATCTGATTTACTACATAATTTCTCAATCTTTATTTTGCTGTCACTCCCAAAAGAGCCTTTTTAGACTTATTTTTTTCCTTAGCTACCCTTTTATGAATTTTTAGTGCCACAGATATACTCTATATCTTTTTATTTACTGTATGCACATTTGTGCTTTAGACATAAAAATTTTCCAAGAACCAGATTTGCCGCTTTGGAGACAACATTGTGCCCCATCTATAATAATAAAAGTGTAATATGCTAATTAGACTGGAAGTCCTTCCAGACCACCTTCTGGACAAAGCTGGGGCTGCGAGGGAAGCTCAGGTGCCTGCCTGCGGCCAGAGGGAAGCCCAAGTCCCGGGTGCCAGCGGGAAGCCAGTGCCGGCCGCCTAGGGAAGGAAGGCCTACTCTGGCACAAATTTCGTGCATTGGGCCTCTAGTATGGATAATAATGTTCTACTCTGAAGTTAAATTGACTAAAGCTAGAAGTTATACTCTCATCAGTATTTCAGAAACATTAAGAGCAAACTGACTTTAGTAACTGAAATAAATGTTACACTGCTTTAATATTGATCTTTCCCATTCAAGTGGTAAAGACACTTATTTTGAATTACTATCTCTTTCCAGGTCCTAGAAGATGTGACTGGTGAAGAATTTGTCCTGTTCATGAAGATACTGTCTGGGTTAAAGAGCTTACAGACAGTGAGTGGAAGACAGCAACTTGTAGAGTTGGTGGCTGAACAGGCTGACCTAGAACAAACCTTCAACCCGTCAGATCCCGACTGTGTGGACAGGCTCTTACAGTGCACTCGGCAGGCGGTACCCCTCTTCTCGGTGCGCTCTTGGTTTTACATAGATGCTATCTTCATTACTCTGTTAGCTTATGTTTTTTCTTTTTTTAACTATATTTTTATTGATTTCAGAG